TATAATAATACAATTATTAGTTATTGAACAAGGAGTCTCTGGATGGCACAAATGGGGCAAACGGTTAAGCTCCCGACTACTGGCTGAAAGGTTGCAAGTTCAAACCCAACCAGAGGCGCCTTGGAAGACACACCTGGCAATCTGCTTCCAAAAGGTCACAGCCTTGAAAACCCTAAGGAGCAGTCCTACTCTGCACACATGGGGTTGCCCTGAGTCTGAACTGGCAACTAACAACATTTATTGAACGCTCACTTTAAAAACAAAAAACAAAAAACCTGCTGCCTTCCTCTCATGGTGACCACATGTGTTAAAGAGTAGAACTGCTCCACAGGGTTTTCTTGTCTGTGATCTTTACGGGAGCAGATCACCAGGACTTTCCTCTGCAGTGCACTGGGTGGGTTCGAACTACCAACCTTTAGGTTAGTAGTCAAGTGCAAACCACTTGTACAAGCATAATTCGTTTTACTGTGCTTCACTTTATTGCACTTTGAAGATACTGTGTTTTTTACAAATTGAAGGTCTATGGCAACCCTGCATTGAGCAAGTTTATCGGTGCCATTTTTCCAACAGCACGTGCTCTCTTCATGTCTCTGAGTCACATTTCGGTAATTCTCGCGATATTTCAAACTTTTTCATTATATCTGTTACGGTGATCTGTGATCAGTGATCTTTGATGTTACTATTGCAATTGTTTCGGGGTGCCACAAACCACGCCCATATAAGATGGCAAACTTAATCAATAAATGTTGTGTGTTCTGACTGCTCCACTGACCAGCCGTTCACTGTCTCTCTCCCTCTCCTCGGGCCTCCCTATTCCCTGAGACGCAACAATACTCCAATTAAACCAGTTAATAACCCTACAATGGCCTCTAAGTACTCAAGTGAAAGGAAGAGTCGCACATCTCTCACTTTGAATCAAAAGCTAGAAATGATTAAGCTGAGTGAGGAAGGCATGTCAAAAGCCTAGAAAAGCTGAAAGCTAGGCCTCTTGTGCCAGTTAGCCAAGTTGTGAATGCAAAGGACAAGTTCTTGAAGGAAATTAAAAGTGCTACTCCAGTGAATACATGAATGATAAGAAAGCGAAACAGCCTTATTGCTGATATGGAGAAAGTTTTAGTGGTCTAGATTGAAAATCAAATCAGCCACAACATTCCCTTAAGCCAAAACCTAATCCAGAGCAAGGCCCTAACTCTCTTTAATTCTATGAAGGCTGAGAGGTGAGGAAGCTGCAGAAGAAAAATGTGAAGCTAGCAGAGGTGGGCTCCTGAGGTTCAAGGAAAGAAGCCATCTCCATAACATGAAAGTGCAAGGTGAAGCAGCAAGTGCTGATGTAGAAGCTGCAGGAAGTTATTCAGTTTCTTATCTACCTAAGATAATTGATGAAGGTGGCTACACTAAACAACAGATTTTCAATGTAGACGAAACACCCTCATATTGGAAGATGCCATCTAGGACTTACATAGCTAGAGAGGAGAAGTCAATGCCTGACTTCAAAGCTTCAAAGAACAGGCTGACTCTCTTCTTAGGTATTAATGCAGCTAATGACTTTACGTTAAAGCCAATGCTCATTTACCATTCTGAATATCCTAGGGCCCTTAAGAATTATGTTAAATCTACTCTGCCCAGGCTCTATAAATGGAACAACAAAGCCTGGATGACAGCACGGCTGTTTACAACATGGTTTTAAGCCCACTGTTGAGACCTACTGCTCAGAAGAAAAGATTCCTTTCAAAATATTACTGCACACTGACAATGCACCTGATCACTCAAAAGCGCTGAGATGTACAAGATTAATGTTGTTTTCATGCCCGCTAACTCAACTTCAGGGGTTACTGCTGATGTCAGATGGATCATGGCTGAAAGCAGAGACTACCAGAAAGGTGTTTACCTGTGTTTTATTGACTATGCCAAGTTATTTGACTGTGTGGATCATTAACAAATTACGGGTTAACACTGCAAAGAATGGGAATTCCAGAACACTTAACTGTACTCATGAGGAACCTGTACATAGGTCAAGAGGTAGTCATTCGAATAGAATAAGGGGATATTGTATGGTTTAAAATCAGAAAAGGTGTGCATCAGGGTTGTAACCTTTCACCCTTTCACCATACTTATTCAATCTGTATGCTGAGCAAATAATCCAAGAAGCTGGACTATATAAAGAACATGGCATCAGGATTGGAAGAAGATTCATTAACAGCCTGCAATATGCAGATGACACAACCTTGCTTGCTGAAAGTGAAAAGAACTTGAAGCACTTACTGATGAAGATCGAAGACCACAGCCTGCAGTATGGATTACAGCTCAACATAAAGAAAACAAAAATCCTCACAACGGGAACAATAAGCAACATCATGATAAACAGAGAAAAGACTGAAGTTGTCAAGGATTTCACTTTACTTGGATCCACAATCAACACCCATGGAAGCAGCAGTCAAGAAATTAAAAGACGCACTGCATTGGACAAATGTGCTGCAAAAGACCTCTTTGAAGTGTTAAAAAGCAAAGATGTCACTTTAAAGACTAAGGTGTGCCTGACCCAAGCCATGGTGTTTTCAATTGCCTCATATGCATGTGAAAGCTGGACAATGAATCAGGAAGACCAAAGAACTGATGCCTTGGAATTATGGTGTGGGCACACATACTTTAGACATGTTATCTGGAGGGACCAGTCCCTGAAGAAGTACATCATGCTTGGTATAGGGTCAACAAAAAAGAGGAAGGCCTTTAATGAGATGGACTGACACAGTGGCTGCAACAATGGGCTCAGGCATAACAACGATCATGAGGATGGCACAGGATGGGGTTTGTTCTCTTGTACAGTGTGTCACTATGAGTCCGAACCGACTCAACAGCACCTAACAACAACAACAACAACACATCTGTTCTGCAGCCCATGGATAAAGGAGTAATTTTGACTTTCAAGTCTTCTTATTTAAGAAATATATTTCATAAGGCTAGAGGTGCCATATACACTGATTCCTCTGATGGATCTGGGCAAAGTAAATTGAAAACCTTCTGGAAAGGATTCACCATTCTAGATGTCATTCAGAATATTCGTGATTCATGAGAGGAGGTCAAAATATCAACATTAATAGGAGTTTGGAAGAAGTTGAATCCAACCCTCATGGGTGACTTTGAGGGGTTCAAGGCGTCAGTGGAAGAGGTTAACTGCATATGTGGTGGAAATAGCAAGAGAATTATAATTAGAAGTGGAGCCTGAAAATGTGACTGAATTACTCCAATCTCATGATAAAACTTCAACTGATCAGGAGCTGCTTCTTATGGATGAGCAAAGAAAGTGGCTTCTTGGAATGGAATCTACTCCTGGTGAAGATGCTGTGAACATTGTTGAAATGACAACAGAGGATTTAGAGTATTACATAAACTTAGGTGATAAAGCAGTGGCAGGGTTTGAGAAGACTGACTCCAATTTTGAAAAGTTCTACTGTGGGTAAAATGCCATCCAACAGCTTCACATGCTACAGAGAAGTCTTTCGGGAAAGGAAGAGTCAATCGATGCAGCAAGCTTTATTGTTGTCTTATTTTAAGAAATTGCTACAGCCATCCCAACCTTCTGCAACCACCACCCTGATCAGTCAGCAGCCATCAACACTGAGGCAAGGCGCTCCACCAGCAAAAAGATTACAACTCGCTGAAGGCTCAGATGACGGTTAGCGTTTTTCAGCAATAAAGTATTTTTTAATTAAGGTATGTACATCGTTTTTTCAGACATAACGCTACTGCATACTCCACAGACTACAGTATAATCATAACTTTCATACGCACTAAAAGAAAAAAAAAACCAAACCCACTGCCGTAGAGTTGATTCTGACTCATAGCGACCCTATAGGACAGAGTAAAACTCCCCCAAAGGGTTTCCAAAGAGCGCCTGATGGATTCGAATTGCCAACCTTTTTTGTTAGCAGCCAAATTCTTAACCACTACGCCACCAGGGTTTCCTCATATGCACTAGGAAACCAAGTAATTCCTGTGACCCGCTTTTTTGCGGTGGTCTGGAATCGAAACTGCAATATCACAAAGGTATGCCTGTAGATACCCACAATATATCGAGTACTTTACATGCATGTTCCCAATGAATTCCCAAACCACCTCATCAGGTAAGTACTACTATTATAAGCATTTTACAGCTGAAGAAACTGAAACTCAGAATGATTTAAGTAATCTGTCCACAGTTACACAGCTAAGAAGTTGAAGAACCAAAATACAAAAACATACAAGCTATAATATTTAAACTGAGATCCTTAACTTTGCTTCAATCATGGTTTTGCTGTTTGAAATACAAACATATCACGTTTTAGGAAATCCAAACTAAGTTCTCTTACCTTCAGAAGCATTTGACTAACATTAATAAGATGATAAACGGCGAAGTAATTACAGGAACTTTCACAAATCTCTGTACATACAAAATCATACACAATTTTCCGTAAGTTATACTTTTGGTACAGAGATCTGACAACTTTTTCACTAGCACGGACACTTTCGGGATACAGCTCTGCTGAAAATTATCTACGGAAATCCAGCATTAAATCCAAGGGGATTCTATTAAGAGGGGGAAGGGAAGCGTTTTATCTGTTTTTGTCTGTTCAGGGTTTTTTGCAACCAGGGAGCTAGAAGGTGACGGAATAAAACGGAAGATGAAAATCAAATCCTCTCCAGTTTCTTCGCTTTTTAAAAACAGGACGCGCGCAAACGCCGGCGGCGTCAACGTGCCCCAAGGGTTCAGTGTCCCTCGTTCGCCTGTGTTTAGGCTCGGTGTGGACTCGGCGCGACTTGTTTCCGCCCGGTTCAGAACCCCCGAAGCACCCGCGGCCAGGGGGCTGCGCAGGGAGCCGCGGTCAGACCCGCTCGCTCCCAGTCCCCGGCTCCAACTCTGGGCGGAGGCGAGCTCCTCCCTGCTCCCAGAGGAGGGTAAGGAGCTGGAGGCGGGATGGAGGGAAACGATGGAGTGGGGAGGGGGCGACCTGCAGGCCGCTTACCGAACTCCGTGCCCGGGTTGTGCGCACACATGGCGCGGGCCGCAGCAGCAGTCTGGGGTCTTCGGAGGCAGGCTCCCTCGCCGCCCAGCTCTTCCGCCTTCCTGCCCGCCCACAACGCCCGCCTCCCGCCCGCAGCGCCCGCCCCCGCCCCGCCCCTCGTCCCCTTCCTCTGTCACCGCACCACGAAGTGCGGAGCTGGAACACTAGCGAAAGCGGCTTCGTGGGAATTTCAC